GCAGAAACACATCAAGGTAGAAGTTGAATACCAAGGCTTAGGCCTGGGTCATATGAACGAGTGTTCCTGCGCATGTGCAGAGTGCCTTCCCCTTTCATTCCTGAGCACCCACAGTTAAATCGTACATCTATGGAATCTGGAGGCAGGGATGTCCACATTGCAGGGTTTCAGCAGGGGGCACAATCAGAGTTTACCATGGCTTAGCTTGGCCCACAGATGACGTGCATGCTATATGCTCTTTGCTGTGTGGTGTGTGTGTAAAGTGCCGTCAAGTAACAGCTGTCTTACGGAGCTTTCAAGCCAAGTGAGAAGCAGAGGTGGTTTGCCTTCGCCTTCCTCTGCAGAGTCTCCCTTGGTGGCCTCCCATCCAAGTACTGACCCTGCTTAGACGAGTTGGGGCTATACCCCGCTGCCTTCTCTTCCTCTTTGCAGTGGAAACCAGTGTTAAATGAAATGGAGAGATGTGCAATTCGTATGGGGAACATGGGCTGGGGAGTGGCTTCCTGGCACATGTCTCTTATGTTCTAATAGACATACCTTATTGTTTCAAACCTCATGGGGTACACAGGTGCGCACACATGGCAAACTCATCTGCCAAATAATGTGTGAAATGAACATCTAGAAATAAGGGGTGCCGTTGCTTAGAAAGGCTGACACAGCTTAGAAAGTTTAGAGTTTCTGGGTGGAACTGGGTGTTATGGCCAACACAAGGCTGCTGCTGAAAACAGTGGCCTTGCGTCTGTCTCATTCTACCCCTCCCAACATATAGGGATGCTCCACACACCATGGGATAACACTGTGTCCTTGCCCCAGTTTCACCTCATTGGATACCAATTATGGAGGGTATGGCAATATGTGAGTATTTTGAGATATTACAAAGAGACGCGCGGCTGCCATTTTAAGCAGCAGCCCTGCCTTTGCCGCAATGTCTGTTTCCAGCATCAGCACTGTTTCTTCATGCAGCAGTCTTTGCCCTATATATAGCTACACCAGTGTTACACCCCACCTCCTACATACACACAGCCTAATCGGAACCCCCTGGCACATGCCGTAAGGTATGTGTCTTCCACTCACGTATTATGGGTTTTCTGCCGGAAACAGCGGTGTACCCACAGTAAACACAACAGCCACAAAAAAACATGCATATTTCTGACATCCTCCCACTTTTCGGCACAATGGACAGGACGGGGGGAGGCTCTGCCTGCAAAGACTTGGTATTCTAGGTGTCAACAAGGATCACAACACAGGATCCATTAATAATGCTCCATGACTTAAGCCTGGAATGGATTTGAGAGCCCTGGAGCTCAGCCCTGGGGGGGTATGTGCAATGTAAAATATATACTGCTGCACATGCACAGAATTCCTTTTCCTTGCTGTTGCCACAGCCAGCTGTTTGCTTCTGGAATCAGAGAACAGAGTTTCCAGGTTACCAGCCATTGCTCCAACAAAGCACCTCTTTAAAAAAACCACAATGCTTCCCTTGGCTGGTGGGTACAAGGGAAGGATTGGCTTGGGAGGGAACCCCCCCCTTCACTCACCCAGGTGCTGCTGCTTCTCCCGACACGTCTCTCGAAGTTCCCGCAGTTCCTGATATTTGATGGCCAAGGAGGCCCTGCCGTTCTCCAGGTGCGGCTGCAGAGCCAGGTTCTGCTTGGCCAGGGCGTAGTTGGAAGCCAGTCGCATCTCCAGCTGCAGGTTCTGGAACTGCAAGGAGACCAGTGAGATCCTTGGTTTGGTCCTCCTTGGGGGTCTCAGCAGAGTCCCTGAACTTACTGTCCTTCACTGCCATCCTAAAGAGCTGTTGTGCAGGCAGGAGATGGCCCATGGTTTGCAAGAGAATGTAGTTTGAAAACTTTCCCACCACCCATCACCTGGACGGACAAGAAAGCCTCTTGTCCATTTAAAGCCAGCTTTGGCAACGTGGTCAATGGTAGGAGGGGGGGGGAGTCCAACATAATTCGGTCTGTGTGTTTGGTCTGCCCTTGCCCAGGGGCTAGGGGTGTTTGAGAATATGCTGTAGGAAGTGGATTGGATCCCACGCCCAAGCTGCCTTCAAGTCTGTTTTCTGTAGGTCAGTTCTTGTGGCCCGCTCTGTAATCTAGATTGTATGCGTACAGTATGATTGTTTTGGAAATGCATTTGGCTCCATAGAAACTGGAAGGGACCTCAAGGGTCAGCTAGTCCAACCAGCTGCAAAACGCAGGGATTCACAACTACCCCCCACCCACCCCATTTCCCCAGTGACCCCTGCTCTATGCCCGGAGGAAGGCAAAAAACCTCCAGGATCCCTGGACTATCTGGCCTCTATGACTCATGCCCTCGGCAGGACTGCTTGATTCACAGCAACAAGAGGTATTCAGAACAAGAGTATTTGAAACCATCCAGTTAGGAAATATTCTAGAATCTCTGGTGGGATAATGCGAAATTGTCTGAAACATGTAGGAGGTGACCCCCAGCATCCTGGCCACTCAATGGCACCCTTTCTGGTGTGGCGCCATGCACGCCTGTAGCCACAGGGGGACATTTGGGGCAATGCCCCCATGGATGAGTGCTAGCCCCCACAGGAAAATTTTTAAAAATGCAAAAAAATTTTTTTACATGTAGGGTTTCCAAAATGACCCAGGACCCAGTCAGGGAAAATTCAACCTCATTTTCTTTTTTCAGGGCCAAAAAATAAATAAGTTTTAAGAATGCAAAATAAAATAAAATTGCAAAATGCAAAAGAGAGTTGGAGATTCCCCCCCCCAACTCATGTAGACAAGGAAGCCAGCAGATGAGGAAGAGTACGTGCCCCTCCCCTTAAATGCCACTCAAGCCCACCCGCAGCAGAGGAAGAGAACTCGGCTGCTGCGTCAGCTGAGCCAGCCCGGGTAACATGACGGCTGGTGATGTGGCTGGGCTGGCGCAGGGGTAGTGAGGCAACCGCCACTAAGCTGAGTCTTCTTCCTCTGCTGTGGGTGGGCTCGCCGCTTGCTGCTCTCTCTCTGTCTCTCTCTTTTCCCCAACTCCGCTGCCCCACAGGATTTCCCAGTGCCCCACCATCCAAAATTTTCTGGGAACATGGCTCAGTGGTAGAGAATCTGCTTGGTGTGCAGAAGGTTGCAGGTTCAATCCCCGGCTTCCCCACTTAAAAGGATCAGATAGTAGGTGATTGGGAAGACCTCTGTCTGGAGCCCCGGAGAGCCGCTGTCAGTAGACAGTGCTCCTTAATTGACCATTGGTCTGATTGACTGTAAGGCAAGCTTTAAGCATTCAGGTGAGCTCAAGGCTATGGTATTCATTGCCAAGAGCTAATGGACGTGAAATATTCAGAATACTTGAAATGCTCCACCTAAATGCGAAGGATCCAGATAGCTGTCACAGAAAATGCTCGTCTTGGGTCGCCAGAGCCCGCATACAATCTTTGGGGCCAGATTTAAATGACAAGTTTCAAAGGAAAACCTGTTCCTCTCCAATCTACATGCATTATTTTAGTTTAGAAATTTATACCCCGTTTTTCTCCCCAAGGGACGTAAAGCAGCTTACAACATCATTATCTCTGTCTCCCTGTTATTTTCACAACATCAACACAATGAGGAAGGTTGCGCCAAGGTCTGTGATAAAGTGGGGACTGAAAACCTGATAAAGTGGGGACTGAAAATTCCAGTCCGATGCTCTAACCACTACGCCATGCTGCCTGCCACTCATTCAGTGACTGAATGTGTTTTACTGTTAAGCAGGAGGCACAGGGCCAATGAGACAGTGTTCTCTGCCAGGTCTGCTGCCCTGACGAAGCCTCCAAGCAAACCACTATCCGACTTTTCTGGCTACCTTCTTGATAAACCTGTCTCATTCCATATTAAGTGTGGCACAATTTAACATTATTTTAATAATATTCAGTGCTCTTTCTCTGACCTCAAAAGAGTTGTGCCCACTGGATTCGGGCATTTCTGCCCCTCTCTGATGATACTGGAGAACACACATAATAAAGGAAGACCATGGCGGGAAGGGTTCTAGCTGGAACTGGGGTGCGATCTGGCAAAGTGCTTTATCCTGTTCTTCAGAATCCTGACTAGCACGTGAGAATGATGGACTAGGAAGTAGCAGTTATCCCAATTTAACTGACAATGAGTGAAAAGCCGGGGTCTCGTAGATGGGGCCTGGCCAACAGTGAGGTCTGACGGAGCCAGAGAAGGCATCTTTCCAAGATAAACAGACCCAACGGATGGTGGCAAGGCAGAATCAGGTGGGCCCAGAAAGGTTTGGGGGCCAGGGAAGGGGCCGGAATCGGGGAAAGCCTGGGGGGGGGGGGCATCCATCACTGGAGGCAAAACCCTCTTTGCTTTATTTCCCTGCCTGTGGCTCTGGCTATCAAAAAGGCAAAAAGAAAATCATACGCCATTTATGAAGAGCCCAGCGAGGGAAACGGCAGCCGGGCAATTATGAGGCAATGTCTACTCCCCCCCCCCAAGCACAATAAAAAAT